ATTTGAGTAGATTTCAATGCCGCCAGAACATCTAATGGCGCCCAGTGAAATCTAATTATTCTCTCTCATAAAACAGACCATGGCCTCCTAGCGAAGGACTGCGGGATATTAATATGGTCAAAATCTTGGTATTGTAATTCCAAAATTCAATCGATCGGTCAACGAGCTAGTATCTAGAGACATTAATTGGTCGCATGCAGGGTTGGATTTAGGAAGGGATGGCGGGGGGGGGGGGGAGCGGACGCTTCTTTCCTCAGGGATTCGACCCCCTGCCGACCCAAAGGGTCCCCCCTTTGGTACTTTTTAAGAAATCCATTTTTGGCGGACCGACCCTAAAACTTTTCTACAGGCACCATTGGTGCCATTATATGCTAATTTTGAGGGCAAGCCCGCGCCAGAAAAAGCGTTTTTCAATCATTGTTATCCAAAAAGTGCCCAAAAAAATTTTTTGTGCCCTAATAGGGTCTTTATTGAGTTCTGGTAGCGCTCGCAAAACTCAATTTGGACGACCTACAAAATAAAGGTCGTCGAAAAGTTCAAAAATTTTTTTGAAAATGCACCCCCCTTCGAGAAAATCCAAGATCTGCCCCTGGTCGCATGCTTTTTTATACTTCACTAGTTTTTGTTCCGACGTTCGAAACAAAAGCTACGGATTGTTTGTTTCAAGGGGATTTTACCACACAGCCTTCCTTTTTTTGACTCGCTGGACTTTTTGTTGGGAGTTATGGAGTAAAGAAAATAGGAATTTCAAAAATTTAGAATAATTAGAGCACTCAACATTTTAATTTTTTTTTATTACAACCGACTCAAATTCAAATGAGGTCGCCTAAATGGTCAAAATAGCGCGTTATTGGACAAAAACCATTTCATTTTTTCACAAAAACCATTTCATGTCTTAATATTTTTTGTTCCAACTTAAAAAAAAAACTGATTTTATACTTACTGAGTTCAATTGTAAAAAGTTATTTCACCTCCAATATTTTTTGTAAACTTCTGGGGTTTGAAAATAGCCAAGTTTGCCATGTTCTGGACTAAATTATGCATGCTCATTCATTCATTCAAAATGCTGAGAGCGTACTGCAAATTGATTATGCGTTTATGCGTGGCGAAGTATCCCGCTCAACAAAATCATAGCAAATTGAAACGACTGAAGTTTTACCTTTTGATATTGTCCAAAATGTAAAGGTTTTCAAAATTTTCTTTTCCAAAAAACTATTCGATATGAATTAAGGTACAGTCGGAACATTCAAGGCTTTTGCCCTGATATACGAGCAGTCTTGTTGCGTTATATGGCTGAATTTTTCTCACCCAATTTCTGAAAAAAAAACTTTTAAAAGTGTTGGTTCGGATTAGGAGAGAATTGCAATTCTCCTTAAAAAATTAAATAAACGTATTTGGTATACTCTGTACAACCATAAAATATGCCGCAACATTTTAAGAAATGAATGCGAAATTAACTTCGGACTGATGAAATGTTTGAGTTTAATTGTCAGACCATCGACGAAAAGCTTCATTGTTTTGACTTTTTGAATAACAATTTTAGACGGAAATTTTTTGTTCATCTGGAAGATATTCATGATATGAACATGCCGCAACATTTTAAGAAATGAATGCGAAATTAACTTCGGACTGATGAAATGTTTGAGTTTAATTGTCAGACCATCGACGAAAAGCTTCTTTGATTTGACTTTTTGAATAACAATTTTAGACGGAAATTTTTTGTTCATCTGGAAGATATTCATGATATGAACGGCAAATAAAAGATATTTTTTGATATTTTTTTGTTTAAGATATTTTTTGTCTTTTTTTGTTGAGTTGAGAGTTTAAAACTTGTCAAACTGGCATCAATAAATTGAGGGTTTAAAATTTGTCAAACTGGCATCAATTAGAAAAAAAAATGCTGTGTCCAAAAAATTCTTTTTTTTCTGCTTACATGTAGCAATAGCAGCGACTGAATCCAGCTTAGAAAGAATTTGAAATTCATAGATCTTCACTTTTTGAACACGAGTTCATTTATACGGGCTCTATGAATATCATTTTTTCACAGGCTAGTGCCATACAGAAGCGTTACGAAAGTCGGAACAACAATTTTTTTTGTTTTCACTATCGATATCGATCACTGCAAACAGAACTAGTGCACTACTGAATTAGTTCCGGAACATCTGGGCTAGTTAAATTTCTAAATTTATATCTTATCAGAGCTAAATTAGAATTTGCACAGAAAGTTTACAAGGCTATTTTCTGCTGTTGCGCTAGTGGAACAGTGTCAATTTTCTTTTGCAGAAATTCAAAAACTGAATTTTAATTAAAATACTGATAACTAATTTTTTCTTAATTGAATTATTTTACCCCCAATTTAGCAAGAAATTAAAGAAGAGAAGTTTTTACACATGTTAAAAGAAAGTTGAAACCTAGATGCAGCGTTGCAGAATAACGTTATTTTCAAATGCATGATTCTACCGTATGCGGATTTTTACAAATTTGTCAAAGCAAACCCCGGAATTTTCTGGCAGAGAAAATCTGTATTTTTTTAAATATTTAAACTGAAATCCGGTTATGTATTATCTTTTTACAGTACAATTTCAATCTGATCAAATAAAAAATCAGAAAAAATTATTGCCGCTTTACACCAGTACTAAATCAACGATGAAACAACGATGAAATAAAAGTATATCGCAATTGAAAATAAAGGCCAAGTTTTTTCTCTAATATTACACTGAGGCTTTAATGATCAAAATTTGTGTTGATCCATAATCCAGAACGCCCAAATGTGAACATAGATAGCTCAGATTTCTATTTACTTCCCTGTTACAATTTAACATCTCTAAATATTGCTTTATTATTGATGAAGCAGTACTGATTTGACCGGGTCAAAGTTTTTGCCTATAATTTCTATCTAAGGGGAGGGGGTGAGGGAGACTAATTTTTAGTGCGATTGGTTACTAATTTGTCACGGATTAATTGGATTCAATTTGGAAAACACAGGCTTCAAAACCACTCATTATTTGACTAAAAGTCTTTTGCGCAACCTTTTTTCTACAAACCCTGACAAAAACTGAATTCAGATCTTTTTTTGCTTGAAAAAAAGTCTGTAGATAAAAAGAGATTATTTTTAGCTTGAAAAAAAGTCTGCAGATTAAATCGAAAAAGATTAAATTTGATTTGATTCAATTTAAAATTGATGTAAATTGATCTTAAGTCCCCCCACAAAATCGATTCAAATTGATTATAAATCAATCCAACTCAATTTAAATCAATTTAAAACCAGTTTTTCATTATCTAGTTGTTTTTGTTTCAAGGAGAGTTTGCTTTAGGAGGATTTTGTTTCTTTTATTCATTGCCAATCTTTTTACATCTATGGCCAAATTTACATCTATAGCTTCTGGCAGCATATTTAGATTTTTTTGCCCAAAAACTTGTTCAAATTGATGATTTTTTATGGTTTTAAGGAATATTTTGGAGCTCAAATTCTGATTAGTATTGACCGTTTTCTTGATTCGTTTCATAGTTTTTTCATTAAATTTGATTTACAATGATGATTTGCTACGAATATTTGCATGTTTTTTAGCTCAATCCCCGACTTAAATCGATTTTTTTTTCTTGATTTGTAATATAAGTTTGCGTTCAATAACTGGCTAATATTGATTTTTTTTAAATTAAAGAATATTTTCGAGCTCAAAATCTGATTGGAATTGACCTTTTTCTTGATTTGTGAAATAGATTTTTGCTTAAATTGATTTGAGATAGACTTTTTAGACACTATGATCGAATTGCTCTTTTGAAATGGATTGATTCCTTTGAAATGGATTCAAATTTTAGTAAGATTTGAATGTATTTTAGTGAATGGGAAAATCAATCCAAATCAATTTAAATCGATTTTTGACATTTAATTCGATCCAAAATGGTCAAGAAAATTCAATTTAAATCAATTTAAAATCCAATTCAGTTCCTAAAATGCTCATTCTTAATCGGTTTGGATTGATATAAACTCAATTTAAAATTATTTTAAATTGATCTTTCAGTGCGGGTGGGTTACTCATGACTTGTTTGTTTTTTTCAATTAAAAATAGAAGAGGCCAATCGTTAAGAAAATAACAAGAATGAAACCACTTTTTGTGCTAAAAATTGATCTCATTCATCTCATAACGCTTAAAAATTGGGCTCATTTAGTCACTTTTCATTAAGAAGTGAGGCTCATAAAACTGAGGCTAATAATTGGTAAAAATTGAATTCGGTAAAAAACGGTAAATTCGGTAAATTGAATTCGGTAAGAAGTGTTTTTGGTAAGAATCGGACTCAATCAGCTCTTTTTTCTAAAATTTGGGTTCACGCAGTTGGTTTTTCTAAACATTGGGCTCATCCAGCATTCTTCAAGGAAAAAGAGGGGGCAAATGAGAGTCAGTTCGGACCCGGGTTCTCTGGGACCCCAGCCCGGGTTATTTTAGAAATCGCTAATACTCCTAAAAAAGGATTATGACGTTAACAAAACTTGATTGTAATTATAGATAAAGCAATAAGAGACAATAAAGCAATAAGAGGCTGTCCGAAAAAAGGAATTGATGATTATCGGGAGATTTGACAACGGAGGAGTCACTTCAGAACTGAATTGAACAGAAATCAAAATGCGCTAATTGACATTTGAGCGACTATTGATGTGATTTGAAATTCACATGGAAGCGTGAATGGAAATTTGAATTAGACAATTCGTTGAGCAAAAAATTGGATTGACCACAGTTTTCTACCTTTTTGGACAATTTTCACGCCAATTTGTTAACGAGTCTTAAGAAGAGACAGATCGTTATGGGTAAATTTTAGAACAATTTGACCAAACCCCAATCCCCCAAAAAATAAATCGATAAATCAACCAAAGATATTAGTAGTGAAACAAAACCAAAAGAATGAGGCTTTGGGTAGGGAGTGGTCGCGCCCCCCTCCTAAGTCGACTGCTTATAAAAAAAACTACTCAAGAGAATTTGGAGTGGTATAAACTTTTGTTTCAGTGCTAGTAGTAGTTTGGAAGGGCACGAGCAATGCCCCCCTCGTTGTTAATCCCTCAATTGGAGGAACAGGAATGGGAGGGGGAGGCGGAGGCGGAGGCGGAGGCGGAGGCGGAGGCGGAGGAGGAGGCGGAGGAGGAGCCAACACCCGGCAGCATCAGCAGCAGCCAAGACCGGTCCATAGACCGAGGCAGTTCGGGAGGACAAAGCGGAACACGACTGATGTGTTCATGGGCAATCTGGCCGTAGCCGATTGTATGGTTTGCGCCCTGGTCATTCCTCCGACCATAATCGACCAGGCGTTCAAAACCAGCTGGTTGTTTGGACTCTTCTACTGCAAAGCAAGTAGTGGTTTGGCTTTCTAATTAGTATGGATTGAAAGCAGGAGCTCAAACATGGTGATAAAGTTTTTTTTTAATTTTGCGTATTGAAAAATGTTGCGTTTCTCAGTGTAGTTTTGTTATATTATTTCAATTGCAGAACTACATTAACAAGATCATTTTTTAGTTATTAGAAATAATCACTGAAAATTATATGAAAGTTTGAAGTTTAAAAAGTGAAGTTGTTTTTTTGTCGCAACTGCAGAAGTAAATGAACAGAAAACTTGCTAGTTCTCAGAAATCATGACAATGTATAATTAGAAAGTGTAGTTGTATTTTGTTTATTTACTCAGAAAGTATTTCAAAAAATGGTAGTAAACTTTGAGGTTAAAAAATTGAAGTTGTTTTTTTTGTTCCAGCTGCAGAAGTACATGGCACAGATCTCAGTGTACATTTCCATCTACACTCTGGTGTTCATGTCCTTGGACAGGTACCTGGCAGTGGTGCACCCCTTCTCCTCCAGGGGGGTGAGGAGTGCGAAGAATGCCAGTCTGGTGGTGGGGGCACTCTGGGGGGTGGTGTGTGTGGCCGCCAGTCCCATCCTCATCATTTCCAAGTTGCAGCCACTT